ATATTTGAATAGGTCCTTGAAGCTGTAGGTCCTGCCAGCTTCCTGCAACTCCTGTCCCTGCCTGTAGAGAGCAGATCCACAGCACAGCTTGCTTGGAGCTTTCCCATGTGCTCTGCCTGGCAGCACAGCCGATCTCGGGGATTGCCACAGTGGGTGGTACAGGGCTGCAGTTCTGCAGCAGAAAAAGGGCCACCCTCGACCCCAGAGAAGGGGGTTTCCGTCCCTTCACCCCTTCTCTGAGCACCTGTGGCAGGGCTGTAGCCAACCTTGGCACCCAGGGAGTGGTACAGCCCTTCTGGGGCTCAGCCAAGCCTTGTCCCTGGTACGAGGTTCCAGAACACTTGGGTGTTGGTTTTGTCTCTCCCTGCCAAGGTCCCAGCCTGCCCCTTGTCCCTGTCCAGGAGGCAGGGAGAGCAGAGCCCCCGTCACCCCTTCTCTCGGTCTCTCAGGTAACAGTCTCAGTCCTGCTGCTCTCCACCTCCGGAGACATTTTCCGGGCCCTCGGTGTTCCCAGCCCCTTCTCCAAGCCCCTGCCTCAGTGGCACCCGAGGTGAGCAGCAGTGCTCTGCACGGTGCCGTTGCTGCAGGGACTGCACCCCCCAGCAGCAAATTGGCACCAGGCAGCCCTTTCCTGAGACCTCCAACACCCTGGTCTCTGCACCCCCCGTGAGCAGAGCTCTCCAGGGCGCTGCCTGCAGGGATGTCGGCCCACAGGGACGTCCGCCCTGTACCCTGCAGCTGAGGGGAAGTTTAATACGTTCCCTGCAAAGGGTGGCTCTGGGCTTGTTTTCACACTGAGCTGCCGCTTGCCCTCATGCTGCCCCTCCCTGTGGCTTGGCCAGGTCTGTCTGGTGTGCCTCCTCGTTCCCTGGGGTCCTGCCTAACCTGCCTGATCTCTGCCTGCCTGCAGATGTTGCTTGGTCATTGCCCACCGTTGCTGCCCTCCTTCTACATCACCATGTTGGTGGCAGCTGGTGCACAGCTGTTTCCATGTTGCGTGCCTTCCATCATGTGGAAAATGGAGCTGGTGGTCCTAAATGTGCTCTGGCTGATGGCCACATTTTTGATCTAGGACAGAATGTCAGCTCTGAGCTTGATAGCTTGTGCGGCCTTAATAGCCACAAGGGTCCATCCATGTTTTGGAGTCCTGGGGTAGCCCACTGTCCCCCAGCAGTAGCTGCCAAATGCCCCCCCTGACTCCTACTGTAGCTGTTGCCCCGCAGAGAAGCAGCAGGGAGGTGGCAGGCGTTACAGGGACCCATCTGTTCTTCCTCCCCTCGGCACTTACTGCTTCCCCACCGTTCTCAAAGGCTGTTTTTGAGGCCCGAGGTTCCGCAGGCTTCGGGGCTCTGAGCTGCCCTCACCTCCCTCCTTACTCATGTTGTTTTCCACGCAGGTGCTGAAGGGACACGATGACCATGTCATTACCTGCCTGCAGTTCTGTGGCAACCGGATAGTCAGTGGCTCAGATGACAATACACTCAAAGTGTGGTCAGCTGTCACTGGGGAGGTGAGCTGTTGTCCATAGTCACGTCATAGGCCTGCTCCGTCGGCACGCTGAGAGTCATGCTGATCCTCTGCATTGCTGCAGGAATGGGTGGAGGTGTGAGAGGCATAGTGGCCTTTTAGGTGGGTTTATCTTGTCTCTGGCAAAGTACAGCTGGGGAAAGGATTTGATAAATCCTGTGGCTGCAGGAGCAGTGGGAAGAGCTGTCTTAAGCTACAAGTCTGTTGGTGCAGTAACAAATGAGCAAGAGTTGGCCACACATGTTTTCACTGGCAGTCAGCAAGTGTGGACTACTATCCTGGAGATCCAGGAAGGACAAGAAACTTGATTGGGTTTAGAATAGCAAGTGATCATTATCATGGAGAGGACTCTCTGGTGGGCGCCTGAGTCTGTCTGCAGGCAGGTGGATTGCTGACCTGAAGAGCCTTACCAGTCCCTTGCCTGGAGGAAGTCCTACGCTTTGCTTTTCCTTTTTGCTGTGTTGTTCAGCCTTTCCCAAACCAATGTCTCACATCTTGTTCTTTGCAGTGTGTGCAGACACTGGTTGGCCACACAGGGGGTGTGTGGTCTTCCCAGATGAGGGACAGCATTGTCATCAGCGGCTCCACAGACCGGACACTCAAAGTGTGGAATGCAGACACAGGCGAATGCGTGCACACACTGTATGGGCACACGTCCACAGTGCGCTGCATGCATTTGCATGGGAACAGGTATGGGCATGATGGTGTTCGGGGCCTGGTCTGGTCTCTGGAATGGGGCAGGTAGAGGTGTAGAAGCATTAGGGGCCTGGGCCAGTCCCTGGCGTGGGATATAGGGCAGGTGAAAGTGCAGAGGTGGTCAGGGCTTGGGCTGATCTGTAGCTGAAAGGTGCTGTGTGGGAAGAGGTATCCCTGGGGAGGGTAAGCTGGGGCTACTCCTCGGGGAAGCTCGTGTGTCTGGGGTTATCTCAGTTGGGCAAGGTCCAAAGTCGACACAGTCAGGCTCCAAGCGCACCCTTGCCCACAGGGTTGTAAGTGGCTCACGGGACGCCACTCTGCGCCTCTGGGACATTGAGACTGGGCAATGTCTGCATGTGCTGATGGGGCACGTGGCTGCCGTGCGCTGCGTGCAGTACGACGGGCACAAGGTGGTGAGCGGTGCATACGACTACACAGTGAAAGTGTGGGACCCCGAGAGCGAGAGCTGCACTCATACGCTGCAGGGACACACGAACCGCGTCTACTCCTTGCAGGTAATACCCTGGCTCCCCCTTCCCTCCCGCTCATGTGCTGCAGGGACATGAGCCATGCCTGTTTCAGCAAGTAAGAGGCTGTCTCCCCACCCCATGCGTGTGCTGCAGGGACACACAGGCCATGTCTGTTCCCTGCAGGTGAGACATTCTCTGCCCCTCCACCCTGACCCCCACACACGCATGCACTGTGGGAACACACACGCCGTGTCTGTTTCCTGGAGGGAAGACGGTGCCAAACACACATGCACCCTGATTAGCCAAAGGGTGCGTGAGCACATCACTTAATCTGCTGTGCCCCAAGTCTCTGACACCAGACTGCGAAGAACATTCCTCCCCATTCTGGGCAGGCTGTGCTGATCTGTGTTTCTCTGGGCAGTTTGATGGGACACACATCGTGAGTGGCTCTCTGGACACGTCGATTCGAGTGTGGGACGTAGAGAGTGGAAACTGCCTACACACCCTCATGGGGCACCAGTCACTCACGAGTGGCATGGAGTTACGTGACAATATCCTTGTATCTGGCAATGCTGACTCCACAGTCAAGATCTGGGACATCAAGACAGGCCAGTGCCTGCAAACACTGCAGGGTGAGTGCAGGAGGATGGAACAGCTCCCCTCACTAGGGGTGTTGGAGAAGGGTCATGTTGCTCCTAGCTGCCAGACATGGCAGGGCAGATGTTGCCCAGCAGTGGGTGCTCCTGAAGAGCCTGGGGTTGGAGGTGGGAGCACAGGAGGACTAACGGATACCCTCTTCTTCCAGGGCCTAGCAAGCACCAGAGTGCTGTGACCTGCCTACAGTTCAGCTCCAAGTTTGTGGTGACCAGCTCAGATGATGGTACCGTCAAGCTCTGGGACCTCAAGACGGGCGAGTTTGTGCGCAACCTGGTTGCACTGGAGAGTGGGGGCAGTGGGGGTGTAGTGTGGCGCATCCGCGCCTCTAACACCAAGCTCGTGTGTGCGGTGGGCAGCCGCAATGGCACGGAGGAGACCAAGCTGCTGGTGCTGGACTTTGATGTGGACCTGAAATGAACCTGGCCAGTCCAGGCTGGGATGGAGGATCCCGCGGGCTGGGCATAGCAGCTGGTCTTGGTGGGGCTGGCCCCAGAGCAGGCACTAGCTCCCCGCGGGCTGTAAATACTGTTTGCATCTGTCTGGGCCTTATTTATATATGTGTGAACTCCCTGTGGGGAGCCTGCTCCTGGCTGGGGCACTGTACAGAGGAAGCAGCATGTTTTGTACACACTAATATATCGATTTATTTCTGTACCTAGGGCCTTCTTCTCCACCCCTGATGTTCCCTGAGCCCTTCCTTCCTGGAGTTTGTCTCTTCTGGGGGGAAGCAGTTGGTGGCTGCAGCCCGTCCTGTTTGATTACAGGCAGAAGTAGGGAGGGTACAGGCTTTCCTTAGTTACCGACCTTGGAGACCAGCTCTCTCTTCCTGCATACACATGCCCTTGTCTGGTGGAGTGCCCTCTGGCTGGAGTCCCATAATCTGTGCCCTCCAGCTTCTTTATTTTGGGCATGGTAGCGGGTTGGCAGTGTGCATGAGGCGCTGAGCACACAGTGTTGGGGAGATCTTGCAGGGCAGTACCACAGGTAGCACAGCCTGATGGCTAGCCAGGCATGTAGGCTCACGAAGCTGTCCTGGGAAGATGTAGCCCCAATATTGTGCCTGAGAGGGAGCAGTGCTGTGAGCAGACATGTTTTTTTTCTTCTGCACTGCTCTGATCCAGCCAGAGGGAAGCAGACAGGGCTAGGCAGAGTGAGAGCTGGTGCAGCAGGCAGCAAACGACTGGGCAGCACCTGGAAGTGGAGCACAGGGAGATGAGATGGGGCCTGAGCTCTGCTGCAGCGGGAGGTATGTCTGTGGTGGGGAGGGTAGCACTACCTGCTGGCCCAGTTGGTGCTGGCCCAGCTCTTGTGATCTGCCAGGGCTGCCCCCTGGAGCAGCCAGGGTGCTGGAAGGCAGAGAGGTGAGAAGGCAGCACAGTCTGCCCTGTCATTGCACCCAGGTAGGTGTATACAGGCTGGCACTGGCTGTAGCATTTCCAGCCGCTTCCCTGGGACCTGTGGCCCTACAGGGTACAGCGCAGCCACAGCCATGGCAGACATCCTTGCTCCTTGCTGCAGTGCTCACAGGACAGCAGAGCAGCAGGGTGACTGGCAGGCCCCCCTCCCTTCAGGCCATCCTGCAGACAGCTGAGGACCTTTTCCACTTGGTGCAGTGGAGCCAGGAAACTGCCACGCTCCTCCAGCAGGAGCTGATGCAAGAGTCAGGGCTTGGGCCAAGATTGTCTGTGGGAGATGGCTTCTGCCTCCTGTCCTTATGTCTGTAGCTCCTGCTGCAGCCCCAATAGCAGCGCAAGGCCCCATTCTGCTAGAAGCCTTGGGGCTGCTTGCTGGCTGACCAGGGACTGGTGGGGCTGCCAGGTGTGCTGGGAACAGAGGAGATGGGAGAGTGTGGCACAGCTCTGGGCTACCAGCAGCTCTTCCTGCAAGCCCTGGACTGCTCTGGAGGAGGGTGGCTCTGCTGGGCTGCGGAGGTGCCGGATGCGTGTCTGGATCTCTAAAGTCACCTCATCCTTGGGCAGACCTGGAGGCAGGTGGGTGCAGCCCTGTGGCCCTGTGTCTTCCCTCCAGCCTGCAGAGGATGGCTCGCTGTCACTCTGCCATGAAGGGCCATTGGTGCTAGGAGAGCACACATTTTCCCAGCCTTCTCTTTCCCCAAATATACGTGCTGCCCAGCTTCCCTAGGTAAGTGCTCATTCTTACCTGTGTTGAGGCAGCCCGGAGAGGGATAAGGAGGCTCTGGGATTCAGAGAGGAGCTGGGCTGCAGTGTCCAGGCAATGCTGAGCCAGGCTCTGTGTGGCTGCTGCATCTCCATCCAGAATACAGCCTCCATAAAGAATTGACCCTGAAAGAAGAAGGGACTGTCAGCCCAAACGGTTTGTAGCATCCTGGGCCCAGTCTTCCCAGCCCCCAAAGGCACAGTTTGTGCTGTGTGCTGCTGCATGATGGTCGAACTGGGAGAGCTGCCGTGAGGCTGCATGGGGGCAGCCTGCAGCAGGCGTGGGCTCAGGCCAGGGGAGGCAGCGCTGGCGGAGCTCGGGGCTCACCACTGGCACTGTGCGACAGCATGGTGCGCGGCACCAGGAGCACCCTGCAGTGCCTTGCCGCATGTGCTGGCTCAGTGCCTGGCTGTGGGTGTGCAACAGGAGCACTGTCGGGTCCAGGGTGTCTCGCAGAAGATGGTGGCGGCACATGGGCGCTGCATGGTGCAGGCTGTTGGTCCTGCCTCTGCCCCAGGCAGGGAAGGTGTGCAGGGGTGGGTTGTGCCATGGCCCCAGGTGACTATACCACCAGACACCCACAATGGTCCCCCACCCATCTGCAGCAATGCAGTAATGTACTCAGTGCATCATGGAGCAGAGTGAAAGCCCTCACTAGCACACTGTCCCTCAAACATTGCCATGCCACCCCATAGCTTAGCAGCAGTAAACCTGATTTTATCCCTTTCACCCCCTTTGAACCTAGTTTGAAGCTCTTCCAAGTCATGAGCAAAAATTACTTTTCCCCATTGAGAAAGGTGAACCCCTCAGGCCCTAGCAGTCCTGGTGTCACCTAGACCATCCTGTGAGACCATACCCTGAGCGGTTTAAGTGGTAGCCTATGGGTGCATGCACTGGGTCAACCTCCATGCAAACCATGATGGTAGGCTTGCTTCACTGATCATTTCTCCAAGCCTCTGCAATAGCAGCTGCTTGTGAGGTATGAACCGAGCCACATATGGCTGCCTGGCATGGAAAACAAGCCTACCTGGACCTGCTGTACAGCAGTCATCTGTACCTTTATGCAAAGCATTACTGTCCAGAAAATTTACCCATCAGACCATTTCATATATACTGCACCAGCCATAAAAAGCCAGAGTTTGCCCTTTCTGCTCAGTTCCTTCCAGCCAGCAATCCCCGATTCTATAGGGCCAATGAAAGACAGGGACAGGACAGAAGTTTTACCTCACCAGCACGCCCCCAAAAGCCTCTCAGCATTTCACACAAACATTGTCCTAGTGCCTGTGGAATGCAGAAAGCCCCAGGGGCTCTCGGCTAGCATAAACCAGCAAACCGACTCAAAGAAAGCGTGAGTGGAATGGCACACCATGGGCCATGAGAGGGTGAGGGGTGCTTGGGGTGGTAGGCTGGGGCGGGGGCTGAGTAAAACAGCTTGTTGACAGATCTGGAAATGTAGTGATGTAAGTATGGCCAGAACTTTACCTGTGTCACTCTGCTGGCAGTAAAAGGGAGTGTGTGCACACATGCACACACATAGACACATGTAAACCCATGTGTGCACACCTGCAACAGGCTCACAGAGCCTCTGGGGACAGTGCAGGGGTTAACTCGTGCTGCTCTACAGTGATGCCTTTGAGGTTCCAGCTTTGAGCTCTCTGCAGGAATGACCAAGACCGGAGCTGCAAAAAGGCCACGTCTCATTTTCCTGGGAGCAGATAGTTTGTCCAGTGAAGGATGCTGGCATTGTGGCAGAGACTGAAGAAACTCCACTGCCAGAATCTCAGTTATTTTTTGCCAATGATACAAAACTGGAAGAAGTGGCTGATATACCATAGGGTATATCAGTATAGGGTATTGTGCTGCCATCCAGAGGGACCTCGACAGGCTGGAGAACTGGGCTGACAGGAACTTCATGAAGTTCAACAATGGGAAGTGCAAAGTCCTGCACCTGGGGAGGAATAGCAAGAATATATGCTGGGGACCACCCAGTTGGAAATCAGCAATCAGCAAAAAGACCTGGGGGTCCTGGTGGACACCAAGTTGAAGATGAGACAACAATGTGCCCTTGCTGCAAAGAAGGTGAATGGTATCCTTTGCATCAGGAGGAGTGCTGCCAGCAGGTCGAGGGAGGTGATCCTTCCCCTCTGCTCAGCACTGGTGAGGCCACAGCTGGAGTGCTGGGAACAGTGCTGGGCTCCCCAGTACAGAAGAGAGTCCACTGAAGGGCCACAAAGATGATGAAGGGACTGGAGCATCTCTCCAATGAGGAAAGGCTGAGAGAGCTGGGACTGTTCAGCCTGGAGAAGAGAAGGCTCAAGGTGTTCACATCTATTTGTATAAATACCTGAAGGGAAGGTGTAGACTCTTCTCAGTAGCAACCAGTGAAAGCACAAAAGGCAATGGGCACACACACACACACACAAAAAAAAACCCCAAACGTTGTTCCATTTAAAAAACATTTTTACTGTGAGGATGGTCAAGCACTGGCACAGGTTGCCCAGAGAGGTTGTGGAGTCTCTCTCTGTGGAGCTTTTCAAAACCTAACTGGACATGGTCCTGGACAACCAGCTCAGGCTGACCCTGCTTGAGCAGGGGGTTGGACTGGATGATCTCCAGAGCTCCCTGCCACCCGCAGCCATTCTGGGATTCTGTGCTTGTGCTTCAGCAACAAGCTGGCAGCTTGGAGTGCAGACTGGACAATAAAGATGATGGCTATCTCAGAAAATGCAGAGCTGTCTATAAAACCACAGAGAAGTCTGTAAATGTTTGTGTCCATGTCTGTGTGTGTGCATTGTATACAGGCCTTCAACAATATAAAAAGAGGCCCTTCATGGGGCATGGGCAGGTGAGAGAAGAAGGTGGCTATAAAAAGCATCTAGTACAGGAACAAGTGCTTTACTGGAAAGGGCACGTCCCACTTTTTTTAAGACAATATAAATGCAAAGGGAGAATAGAGTTTAGAGCATGACATGCTAGACATTGGTGCAGTAAAATACTGCAGTCAGTGGTGCTTGTCTGCAGACACACAGTGAAGGTGCATGTACAGACAGTTAAAACTCCACCCAAGGAAGGTCCAGACCCTTCAGCCAGTACAAAGGGGATGACAGTAGCGCCACAGTCCGGCACTACAGGCATGCAGTCTTGGACACGGACAGTGCCACAGGCAGCAAGAGCAGGTAGGGCTGCAGCAAGGGAAGACTGGAGTGAGCCAGGTGCTTCAGCAGGTAGGCTTTGACTCAGCTTTACCTTTCACGGTTTTACACACATATGCAATATAGTGATTTGCTCTCAGACAAGCAAACTGCACTGCTCGGGTGGTGGTTAGCATCTCACCAAGTGAGGTATGCTCTCTGTTTCCCAGGTTTGAGAGCTGGATAAGCTGTGCACACTGTATGACAGGGGACTTTGCAGTTTGGTGTGTATGGGAAGTAGCTTCCAGGTGAAATCCAGTGCAAAAGGGGTAACCAGCTACCATAAGATA